ATGGTTACTTGTATCTGACAAATGCCTCTTATTGCTAGTCTGCATTAGAGCATAGCAGAATTGACCATGTCACAAGTAGTGTCAAGACTTGATGTACTATGATTGTACTCAGATCATGTTGCAACTTCACGGTAATCGTCCTGCCACTTCACGCTCTCCCGGACGCTCTCCCGGAATTGCCTGCAGAAGTCACGTGCCTGTGCAAGGGACAACGCGTTTGCATTGCTTACTGATGCAAGCGGATGGAGTGCAGACCAGATAAGAAGACATCATCTGTATATTTACCCACACGTGGGTCATTCACGGATGCACACACACACACACACACACACCATGTATACGCCCGTCGCAAGAGAAGCACGCAAATCTGCAAATGCACGCACACACACACACACTTCTACGCTCGATCATGCAAGTAGACACACACACACTCATACGCTCGATCATACAAGTACAATGTATTTCGATTACACGTACAATGTAGTAGTGAAGAATTCACATCAGAGACATTATTAAAACGTCTCTATCTCTCTATGCCTGCCACTGTGCTGCATAATATTATACAGATAGCGAAATTGGTGTGGCACATAACACGTGCATGACTGTATATTTACCCACGGGCCAAGCGTGGGACATTCACGGATGCACACACACACACACACACACACACACACACACACACACACACACACACACACACACACACACACACACACACACACACACTACTACTACTATGTACAGCTACCCTATCAGGCCACGCCGCTCCCAGAAGCGGGAGACAGCGACAAGAAGAGAGAAGAGAAAAGAGAGAAATCGCAAAGTCAACAATATTTGGCATGGCCTTGCAAGTCCTGTGGCCTTGAGAACCGTCTTTCGCAATGCTCGCATTCATAGCGGCAGTTGTTCCTGGCTGCACGTGACATCCGTTTCGCACGGTCACAGTGATGACGGCTCAAACCAGAACGAGAGCGGAAAGAGCGGCGACAAACATCACATCGAAAAGAGTCAGATTCATGGCGAATAGATACAGTGGGGGGGGGGGGGGGACATCCATGGACACAGGACAGCGATGCACAGCCAGTCCTCCAGCGCTCCTCAACCACCCAATGCACTTCATACATTGCCTGGCACCCTTCTGTTGTGACACAGGCAACTTCCGCTGGGCAATGCACTTGTGTCGGGCCATGTCGTTACTGCGGCGGATGTCTCTGGCACACATCAAGCAGCGCAAAGGTGGCGAATCAACTGTGTGCGGTTGTGGCTCAGCAAGGAATATCCTCCAGTTCTGCCGGTCTTGGGCATTCTGAAACCAGGAATCCACGCCAGCTGCCTTCATGTCTCTCTGGACAACGTCTTTCCAGCGCCGCCGGGGACCACAAGGAGGGCGACGACCACTCAACCTTCCAAACAAAATCTGGACGGGAGCACGGTCTGCAGACATGCGCGCAACGTGCCCGAGCCATTCCAACCGCCGACGCCGAACAAGGTCTGACACCGGTGTAGTGTCACCCCAGCGCGCACGGAGCGTTGCCGATGAGATTTTCTCCTCCCATTGCTGACGCCGAGATACGCATAAGATGGAGCGAATACACCGGTGGTGAAAGTTGTCCAGCAGATCCAAGTCGTGCCGAAGCGGAGCCCATGACTCAGCACCGTAGAGTAAAACCGAAAGAACACAGGCTGTGTACAAATGACGCTTTGTTGCCACCGTCAAGCTGGTATCCCGGAACACTGGTAGGAGGCAGCCAAACGCCTTTGCCGCATTGGCAATCCGTCGCTGGATGTCAGGTGAGGATCGGGTGTCTGGCGTGATGAGGGAGCCCAAGTACACAAACGATTCAACATACGAAATGCTGTCGCCACCCATGTCCATCGGCATCCTGTCCTCCGGGGAAATACCAACTACCATGAATTGTGTTTTCGACGAACTGACGGACAAACCAAACGAGGATGCAACACACACACACACACACACACACACACACACCACACACACACACCCCACACACACACATGACCTGCAGCAAATAACATTTCATAGCTACAAGACCTTCAAAGAAAGTCATGGTGTCAAGAAGATAGACACGTACAAAGATAATTGTAAAGTAAAAATTATATTATACAATGTACATGTAGCAGGGATATTCCCAGAGAGTCAACTACTGGATGAAATGGCAAACGAGAGTCTCAACTTGTTAAAGTAGAGTGGGTAGTTGTGCAGACCAGCATAGGTCATAACAAATTGATAATAAAGTGTAACGAATGCCGGCAATGGATAATGTGTGAGCGACCAAATAGGCATACATAGCATATCCTGTACCACCATAAACACACCTTGATCTTGCCCGTTGGGTAGCAATGATAGCGCATTGTTATTTCTCCAGTCCACGACAGAATGACTGATGGCGTTTCAGGTCGCCACTTCGACGGAACATGCGGCCGCAGGCGCAACCGTAGCCAGCAACAGAGGGTGCCTTGGGTGGTCGACGGGCAATGGCACGCCACTCCGGATGGTTCTGGGCTGCATCGTATCATCCACATGTTGGCACCAGTGGCTCAACCGACGCAAAGTCATCCATAATGACGTCCCTCCACTTCTTGCGTGGACCATTCGCGGGGCGCGGGGGAGGCAGTTCACCGAAGAGAACACACTTCGGCAACCGGTGATCTTCCATCCGTGCCACGTGTCCAAGCCAGCGCAAGCGCCGTTCCCGTACGATGTGACCAATGTCCTCAGGCACTTCTAGGGTCTTTGCAAGGGCTGAGGACGTTGCGTGGGTCTCCCATTGCTGCCGTCGCGACACTCCAACGATAGATCTGACACATTGATGGTTTAAAAGGTTGAGGTGTCGTAGGTCCGGAGCTATCGTTGTCCAGGTCTCCGCGCAGCACAGGAGGGTAGAGAGCACCACGGCAACATACACGCGACGACGACACTGCAGACTCAGTGACCGGTTCTCGAACACGGCTTGCTTCAAACTACCATAAACACACACACACACCGATTGATCTATCATGCTGCCGGAATCCCTCATATATCTCATACTGTGGTACATATCCCCGGGAGAATTGCAAGGAACTAAATACGGCAAGCAAATCGAGGGACATTAGGTGCAAGCCTCGTTGTTCTAGTTGTCTAGACTGCACTGGGTTCTTGAAAAAGACTAAGCCCCCATGTTGTATCTGTTAATGTGGCATCCGTTGATCTTGTTTGAGTAGTAGTAGGCATGTACTGCATTATGGTTTGATGAAAGGTTCGATAGCTGATGAATTTGTTTATCATTTGGCTTCATGTGTGGGTATTGTTTCTGTGGATTGGTTTGGAGCAATGTTCAGATAGTCCAGGCATCTGGCCAATTTATAATGGCGGTCCAAGCTAGTTGAATATCCGGATCACTTTTTCTCATCTTGTCTACACTCCATGCGCTTGCATCCGTAAGCAATGCAAACTCGTTGTCCCTTGCACAGGCGCGTGACTTCTGCAGGCAATTCTGGGAGAGCGTACAGTGGCAGGACGAATATTCCCGTGAAGTTACAACATGATCTGAGTATAATCGTAGGACATCAAGTCTTGACACTACTTGTGATATGATCAATTCTGCTATGCTCTAAAGCAGACTAGCAATAAGAGGCATTTGTCAGATACTAGTAATCATGAGGTACTGAGACGATTCTCTTTAGCAAACCACCCACTCCGCTATAGATGCTCAAATAATCTGTCATCAGCCTGCTCCAACTTGACTGTCCTCTTGACAAGTGAAAATCGCTGGCGTTGTCTGGGCCATAAACACCATTATTGGCATTAATCCAACGCCTCCCTTGCTCCTCTGGCAGGTCTGGCACATAGAAATCGAAATCTAAAACTAAAATACTTGGAGCTCTTATTAGTTCAAGCTATATTTTCAGAGCCAGGAAGTTGCAAATGGCAAGAAACCCAGCTTCTCTTCACCATTGGCATCATGAGCTATGATCATTATCAGCGAGCAATGTTACTAGAGGAAAGGCGCTAGAGTGAACAGAGAGCTTTCCAAGCAGCAACGTTTCTTTCTCAGCAAGAACAAATAAAAAGGAAGGAACAAAAAAGGAGCAACACCAGCTTATAATAGCCCGATTTGTCTATACCCGGTACCCGGGTGTGTGTAGCCCCTGGCATGGCATGGCTCTGCCACAGATTCCAGTACAACGGCCACGGACAAGTGTCCCACTGAGATGCGGTCGCTCGCCCGGACCGCTCCGACGCGGACACCTGCGAAGAGCAGCCTGTGACGTTTATTTTTTTATGACAGAAAACTGCAAAAAAAGTTGGGCTTGGCCCTTTAATCCTACACTTACCTGAAGAGCTCGGATGTTTAGCCAATGTAATCATGTAACAAATAAAGAAAGGGCAAAATGTTACAAGTTATGACCAACTGTCCCACAGTGCAATCAGATAATACACCGTCAGCAAGTGAGACAACAGGGCACAAAACTGACAAGGAGTACTGAGACATTCAACAACCTAACACCACACTCCAACACATCTAAGATGTGTAAACCAACGACATTCCAACTTGGGAGGCTCAGGTAAGGAAATATCCAAAGAGGGGAAGGAAAGCGCAACGAAGATGAGCATGGACTCTGTCCCACAGAGTAAACATGGAAGGGGAAGCTGAGCATTCCTTGTCAGTTCTTCAGCTTAGTACTCCTGGTCAGTTTTGTGCCCTTTTGTCACACTTTATGACAGCATAATCAGGGGCGTCGGAAGGTAAGTTAGTGTGGTACGGTCAGCCATCTGAAGTACAATTCACTCCTGTGGGAGGGATGGATGAGGCGAAATTTTTGGGAAATTAGAGCCCAAATCAGTGCATTTTATTGATTCACAGGGTACTTGGGTCAAATAGTGGTACGGTCAATACCGTAGTGACCGTACCGTGTCCGACGCCCGTCATAATTATCTGGTTACATCGGTGGACAGTTAGTCATAACTCGTGACATGTTGTTGTGATTTCTCTAATTACCTGAAGAAAACGACGGTTGAGAGGCTTAGCAGTCTCCTTGTCAGCGGCATGTCGAACAATTTCCATTACCTACATTGCCAATAGAACACACAGGAAACACAATGACAGATGTAAAAGTAGGAATAGGGAAGAGGACAGGTGGTTGGTAGAAAATCGTCCGTAGAGAAACATGGTTGGAAACACGGTCACGGACAGGGGAGCGTGAGCAGAAGAAATACTTTTCTTTGTGGCTATTCACTTAGGGCTTGTTAGAATTGTCATGCTTTGACTTTTTTCCGAAGAGTTTGGAATAGCTACGTTGCGAAGTGCGTGGAGATGGTCGATCTTATCGGACGTCATCGACAATTCCACTGAAACTCTAAAATGATAGAAACCGTTCTAATGGGACACTTCAACTAATCTCTTTGAAAAAAATTCGAACGCCCCTTAACTTGATATACGTGTATACGTAGTACATACAACAAAGTGTCTGGGTTCTTTGCTGCAAATAATGCTCAATACCTCAACAAGGGCAGAGCTTATACCACACGAGGCAGAACAATAGAGACCAAAAACCTTTCTCGCAACTCCGAGTTTCGTGTTTCAAAAAACACTCATCAGACGATAAAACATAATAATACTATTTGCTAGTTATATAGGGTAATTGTAATGTAGGCTAAGGCAGTGCTGCAACCACGAAGCTTGAGGAGATAACATCAGCGCTGGAATACACTGTGCGTAATTATTGCCGTAATATGAATGCAAGTGTCATGGCTGAGGTATATTGCTATAACCAAGATGGGAGAAACATGTAGAACCGAAGCAGGAATGAAGTAGGTTTCAGTGGTAGTTGTGTCACGCCAAATGGCTGGGTAATATGTGTTATATAGCAGATACCAATGTGGCTAATGGCGCAATATGTGGTTTGGTGTGAGTGTGAAAGAGTGAGGGTGTACATGTGTGTGCATGAGAGAGAGGGAGATAGAGTGTGTGTGTGTGTATTTGTGTGTGTTTGTGTGTGCGTGCATGCGTGCGTGCGTGCATGTCTGTGTGTGTGTGTGTGTGTGTGTGTGTGTGTGTGTGTGTGTGTGTGTGTGTATGTGTGTGTGAAAACACCGCATATCTCATCATGTGATACCAGTGTAGTTTGCGAGCGAGAATTTGCTGGAATGTCTACACTTTGAGATGAGCTCGCTTCTCTTGTTGAAGCATGTTTCTTTATCCACGGTTATGATCGGAACTTCTCCGAGAGGCAAAGTTGGCACCTCTTGCTGATGTTGGTGTAGGCTTGTGCTCGTTCTGAAATACACCACTGGATCGAGTAGTCTTCCTGTCACTCTGCCAATTTCCAGACAAACTTGGATAGTTCGGTGCTCTTCCGTCCCTGCTCGTGGTTGAATGTTTACTTCTGGTTTCCGTACCGGGTCTTGAACGTTGGCTCTGTCGCTCCGAAGTACACAAGTGCTGGGTTAGTCCCTCTGCAGACTACGTACATAGAACATCCAGTACAAAATCACATAAACCTAAAAGGCAACATTTTTCCAAGCCTGTATTCAGACTACACATTTTACATGCAATATACAGGCAACCTTTGACCCTACGATATTGCGCAATGGACCCGGGATGTGTGAAAGCAGCCGGCAGTCGTACCCAGGTTCAAAGTCTGTACGTTTGTTTAACTACCTGGTGAGAAAGTACGATAAATGCAGGAAAGTTGCCTTGTACAAGGGTTCGCACCTTGCCTGAAAGGTTTGGGCAGCTTTTTAGGCTCCCCACCAGATTCTTGTCGTTGTCTTGGAAACTTCTATGTAAATGTGAATTATAGGCTGTTTTGTACCTAGTCTGAAGTGGGCCTTAACATTACGGCTTGTCACTTCGGCTTTGTAGACCAGCTGCAAAACAAAGTGTATTGTTGACTCTGACAAGGAAAAGGAGCGGCGATAACTTGCCACTCCAAACGATAAGCTTCTTCTTGCGCTTCCAACATTTTTCGGTGCAACATTTGAGGCAAAAAGTGACTATTTGGCGTGTAGTTTTTGAATTCTACGGCAAGAGGAATGATGAAATCACATGCTTCATGATGTAGAATAATGCTTTCCAGTTCACGACACAGTACACAAGATCACGATCGTTCCTGATGTGCTATTCGGAACGGACCATAATGGAGAAGGTAAGACGCATCATATTCCCTGCATGCTCTGCTCAGAACCCGCAGCAACTATCGTTACAGCGCTAGCAGTATTGCATTAGCAAGACGTCTTTGAGATATGTCCTCTTGCAGTAAGAACAGGTACAGTCAACTTCGCTTATAACGACACTCGGTGGGGCGTCAAAAAGGTGTCCTTATTAGCGATGTGTCGTTATACCCGAAGTCTCATTATATGTATTACAGTGGGATGGGAGTTTGCTCTGCGCATGGAAATTCTGTCGTTATTCGCGAATTGTCGTTATATCAGCAGTCGTTTTTGGCGAAGTTGACTGTATGCATATTTCACACTAACCTTGAACACCCTGAACATGGCTCAACAGGAACCGTGGCTAGTTTACATGCTGATGCTTGATGTAGATCTGCAACAGCAAGGAATGACCATCGAGCATGCCATCAAGGTCGCTTGGAGTTGACCAGCACAGGCTACACTGATTCCATGTGGTACGTGACATGCCGACATCACAGATTTCTTACGTGATGAACAACGCAATTTGACTCCTACTTACCCTAGTCTCTGTGCTGCATGTTGAGGGAAAGTCCCGGTTGGAAGGCCTACAACGCGACCAGCGTGCTCTTAAACTGGGCATCGAAATGCATGTGATCCAATCTAAATATCAACAGGCGATCCTTGTAAGTGCACGTACACTTGATCAAGGTGACTCAGAAAAGCTGCTGAACCGTGATCTACCAGACCTGGCATTCTGGTGTCACGGGGCACATGATTTGCAAAGTCAATCTACACCCCAAAGGAAACTTACCTCCAAATTGTGAGCGTAATTGGAGAGATCGACTTGCACAAATTTTCTGGTTTTCTCAGATATGCTCTCTTTTAATAAATATTATTGCTGAAGTGAGCGATTCAGTATAAGCTCGAACGTCACTGCCCGTATCTCAGGTTTGCCGTTATCTCAGGACCGCTCGTCCACCATGTATTATATCACTTTTTGAAGAAGTGTTTTTGGCACATATTACACGTATTCAGGATAAAAAATATGTCTTAGGGGTGAAACAAAGGTGTCAAAGGTTCGAAGAACCTTCGTTTTCATTTGAAACAAACCTTCGATTTCACTTCAAAAGAAGGTCAACACACGATTTCTGTACATACATGCACTGATCTTCCTTGTATACAGGAGGTACTGTACTGTAGTTTGTACAGTCGACTAGTTTTGTGTCCACTTGGCTCCCGGTAGGTGCCACTGCAAGTCCATAGTAGGCCACGGACTGCGCTTGAGCGTGGCCATTCACTGCCAAGGTGTGCAGAAGTAGTCTTGGGCAGTTTAGGGTGCAAACTGCGCAGTGCAAAAGCTATGGGCATGCCAATTGTGGTGACTGCACAGCAAACATGTGCACAGTCATGTACTTTGTAGGGCACATGCACAGAGTCACGATGCTTCAAGAGGATGCACAGAGTGTGCTTCAAGAGGAACTGTCAACTGGTAAAAGAATCCTTCGACACCTTCGTTCGTTTTCATGAAGAAGGTTTGTTTGGCAAATTGAGACCTTCGTTTTGCCCCTAATTATTATGTCTTGATGGAAATGAGTGAATTCCACAGGTGGACAGTGATAAACTGACACTAGTGTACACGAAAAATAATTCAAACCCCAAATTCGAAGCAGTTTTGCCATAGGAACTCAAGCTAAAGGTGCCCGGTAGAGAGGCATGCCAGTATCTGAGGCGTCCGGATAAGAGACGTTTGAGTGTACCCATTGCTATTGTTAGGTACCTCCTCCCGTACCTTTTGTGGCTGGCCTGCATGCATGTAGCTGTAATTGTACACATCGTATTCGTAGTATTCGTAATCACCTTTCGTTCCGGTGGCCTGGGTAGCTACTTGCGCACCCATCTTTGCCATAGCTACCCAGGCCCTTTATCTTGCAAGCTCTTCTTTCGACTCGCTCTCTCTCCCATAATGTAGTCGTAGTAGTTCGTCTTTGTCCCCGTCTCTTCGTCTACCGCAATAAATGTTGTTCTACCTACCTATCCCGTTGTCTGTTGTGTCTGGAGAATTGTGTGAACGTTATACCGTATTTTCCGGGGTATAAGCCGCACCGGGGTATAAGCCGCACCGGGGTATAAGCCGCACCCCCCTTTTTGAGGCAAAATATTGACTAAAAGTTGGTATTCGGAGTATAAGCCGCACCCACAAAGCGAAGAGCACAGCGCGTATCTTCTCCTTCACGGTGTATGTTGTCCGCCGCGGCATGGTCAACTCCAGGACACCATCGAAGTACCGGCAAGAATAGCTAAAGAAACAAAATAATCTTAACGACTGAAAGACGAATTGAAATGTTTGGAAACAAACATTCGTTCCGTTACAGCTATGTACCAGGCCAGAGAGTACCCTGTTCACAACAGGGAAAGATTCCAGCCGACACTATTTATACACAAAAAGTAGTATTATCGTATCGCTGTATACTAGGATGTGTGGAAACCGGCACTTGCAGTACGCAAAAAAGAGTCCCCGTATACGCGTACCGTAAGGTGTAGCCCGTGCACTAAAACTAGTATTAAAAAGTGCAGGGATAGCAACACAGGTGCGAAGCTGAGTCGAATGACATGTCTCATGACATCAGCATGCATACTAATGTATGCTAAGCATTCATTCGTGCAAGCATATTCGGTGTATGAGCCGCAGGGGCGATTTTGGTCCAATTTTTAGCGAAAAAAGTGCGGCTTATACACCGGAAAATACGGTACTTAACACTATTCATATTTGCAACTATTGAATCCTTTCTGCAGTCTTAGTAAACTGCATAGCAGCCATTTATACAATATTGCACTCATTCCAAACACCCACACAGGGACGTTTCTGCTGCGAACGCCACATATGGGTCACTAAATGTTTGGGCATATCCCATCATTAGTTTGAACCAGTAACCTGATACTGAGCCATGCCTGAATATTTGGTGAATCAAAAGCGGTGTTTGCAGCAGGGAGGCTTTTTTGTGTGAGTGTATGGAGGGAATATAGTGATATTGTTACCTCATTGGTTACGCAAGTTTTCGAATGGGAAATTCTTTTTGATGTATTTTCTTTTCTTCTAAGTTGCGCTTACCTTCTCCTCCTCCTCTGGGTACTGGCTCTCAAGATGGCGGATAATAGCCCTTAAGCTAGGTATAGGTTGGCCGTAGCCATAATTTGCTACTGCACGGTCCAGACATGTCATGTTATCCTGGTAGAATGAACAATGTTAAATCAACGAAAAAAGTAAAACAGACCTCTTAGTAAACATTGCACATAGCTCTGTAAACCAGAACAGCAGTTGATTTTGAATACTTTGCAGATTCAAGAAACTAATGACTTTTCTAATGCTCGTTTCGAGAATGATCTCAACTCCCATTAACACATTATAACAGTGGAGCCAAACTATGTCTTGTGATCAGAAAATCGTACGACTTATTTAATGCATACTTCAAGTATGGTATTGGTCAGAGAAAATAATGGAATTCATCATTGGTTGATTCGCGTTGTTGAGTTGTAGCTAGACCGGCTTGTCCAATGGTCTTACCAATCTCCTTATCATTCTGTAGCTTTCAACGTTCTTTGCTCCCGGGGGATATACCTCGTGCAAATCTTTGTTGCGTCTTCTTCCCCTCATTGGACCTTTCCGCACGTAAGCCTTCCTAGTTATTATTATATGAAGGTTGGTGTTTTTCAATTTGTAGATTCGTTGGAGCTAGGTGTCAGTTGGTTCAATGTCTCAGTACCTCTGTCAGTTTAGCATCTTGTTGTCGCACTATCTGATTGTTTATGCAGTATCCCTGCCTTGCTTGATTGTAGCTGACTATTGTAGTATCCCTGCCTTGCTTGATTGTAGCTGACTATTGTAGTATCCCTGCCTTGCTTGATTGTAGCTGACTATTGTAGTATCCCTGCCTTGCTTGATTGTAGCTGACTATTGTAGTATCCCTGCCTTGCTTGATTGTAGTTGACTATTGTAGTATCCCTGCCTTGCTTGATTGTAGTTGACTATTGTAGTATCCCTGCCTTGCTTGATTGTAGCTGACTATTGCAGTATCCCTGCCTTGCTTGATTGTAGCTGACTATTGTAGTATCCCTGCCTTGCTTGATTGTAGCTGACTATTGCAGTATCCCTGCCTTGCTTGATTGTAGCTGACTATTGCAGTATCCCTGCCTTGCTTGATTGTAGCTGACTATTGCAGTATCCCTGCCTTGCTTGATTGTAGCTGACTATTGCAGTATCCCTGCTTTGCTTGATTGTAGCTGACTATTGTAGTATCCCTGCCTTGCTTGATTGTAGTTGACTATTGTAGTATCCCTGCCTTGCTTGATTGTAGTTGACTATTGTAGTATCCCTGCCTTGCTTGATTGTAGCTGACTATTGCAGTATCCCTGCCTTGCTTGATTGTAGCTGACTATTGTAGTATCCCTGCCTTGCTTGATTGTAGCTGACTATTGCAGTATCCCTGCCTTGCTTGATTGTAGCTGACTATTGCAGTATCCCTGCCTTGCTTGATTGTAGCTGACTATTGCAGTATCCCTGCCTTGCTTGATTGTAGCTGACTATTGCAGTATCCCTGCTTTGCTTGATTGTAGCTGACTATTGTAGTATCCCTGCCTTGCTTGATTGTAGCTGACTATTGTAGTATCCCTGCCTTGCTTGATTGTAGCTGACTACTGTAGTATCCCTGCCTTGCTTGATTGTAGCTGACTATTGTAGTATCCCTGCCTTGCTTGATTGTAACTGACTATTGTAGTATCCCTGCCTTGCTTGATTGTAGCTGACTATTGTAGTATCCCTGCCTTGCTTGATTGTAGCTGACTATTGTAGTATCCCTGCCTTGCTGGATTGTAGCTGACTATTGCAGTATCACTGCCTTGCTTGATTGTAGCTGACTATTGTAGTATCCCTGCCTTGCTTGATTGTAACTGACTATTGTAGTATCCCTGCCTTGCTTGATTGTAGCTGACTATTGCAGTATCACTGCCTTGCTTGATTGTAGCTGACTATTGTAGTATCCCTGCCTTGCTTGATTGTAGCTGACTATTGTAGTATCCCTGTCTTGCTTGATTGTAACTGACTACTGCAGTATCCCTGCCTTGCTTGATTGTAGCTGACTATTGCAGTATCCCTGCCTTGCTTGATTGTAGTTGACTATTGTAGTATCCCTGCCTTGCTGGATTGTAGCTGACTATTGTAGTATCCCTGCCTTGCTTGATTGTAGCTGACTACTGCAGTATCCCTGCCTTCATTCATTGTAGCTGACTATTGCAGTATCCCTGCCTTGCTTGATTGTAGCTGACTACTGTAGTATCCCTGCCTTGCTTGATTGTAACTGACTACTGTAGTATCCCTGCCTTGCTTGATTGTAGCTGACTATTGCAGTATCCCTGCCTTGCTTGATTGTAGCTGACTATTGTAGTATCCCTGCCTTGCTTGATTGTAGCTGACTATTGTAGTATCCCTGCTTTGCTTGATTGTAGCTGACTATTGTAGTATCCCTGCCTTGCTTGATTGTAACTGACTATTGCAGTATCACTGCTTTGCTTGATTGTAGCTGACTATTGCAGTATCACTGCTTTGCTTGATTGTAGCTGACTATTGTAGTATCCCTGCCTTGCTTGACTGTAGTTGACTACTGTAGTATCCCTGCCTTGCTTGATTGTAGCTGACTATTGCAGTATCACTGCTTTGCTTGATTGTAGCTGACTATTGCAGTATCACTGCTTTGCTTGATTGTAGCTGACTATTGTAGTATCCCTGCCTTGCTTGACTGTAGCTGACTACTGCAGTATCCCTGCCTTGCTTGATTGTAGCTGACTATTGTAGTATCCCTGCCTTGCTTGATTGTAGCTGACTATTGTAGTATCCCTGCCTTGCTTGATTGTAGCTGACTATTGCAGTATCCCTGCCTTGCTTGATTGTAGCTGACTATTGTAGTATCCCTGCCTTGCTTGATTGTAGCTGACTACTGTAGTATCCCTGCCTTTCTTGATTGTAGCGTATCCCCGTATGTTATCATGTGTAGGTTGTTGCCTATAAAAGCTGCTGTTCATTTTTGTTTTCACAATCCTTTTTAACATAATAATCCAGGTGTGTACGCGAGGAAGTCTAAGTAAAAGTTAATTAATGTTAAGCACCGTGCCTCCACTCGGCTACCTATTACATTTATTATCTCGTTACATTGGTGGATCGTTGTCAAAACTCGTAACATTTTGGCTCTTACTATTTAACATGAATATTATTGTTTCGCCACCCAAGATTATAATTTGATTACTGTTATCAACACATTGTCTCACATACAACCGTCTGCCTAACTTTGCACAATACTCACCATGTATCTATCTCACACCTCGCTAGCGTTATCGGTCTTATCCAATAACAATTGTTCCTGTTTTGACACATTCACTTTCTGGTTTCTGAATGTATACATTCTTAGCTTGTTTCCCATGTTCATTTTAGTCACGACATTCCACTCATGATTGTGACAAAAAAACGTTCGGGACTTAAAGGGGAACTCCACGAGAACATAACATTTTAATCCTGTAGAGTTTCGGGCACTGAGTCGAATGGTCTTGGTCCGAATTCTCTACGAGAAAGCGTTCTTGAGATATTTCAATTTTATCCACGTTCCTGTACCAATGTATGTGTGACGTCGTTGTGGCACCGTGCGAAAATACTTGGATTTTTAATCTCACCTTTTTCAGGACAAAAGTCACTTCAGAACGTGAGTAGTTCGCCAAGTTGCCTGAGCCGCTGCGATGCCAAAATGTTGTGTTGTTGGTTGTGCCAGTATCACATAATCCTCCTGGGCTTAGTTTTCTCCGATTCCCAAAGGATGGAGACCTGGCAAAGCGCCGAGATGTTGCAATACGTCGTGAAAATGTCAGCATATTTTCGCAGCTCGAGCTATGTTTGCTCGCTGCATTTATGATCCAGAGGTACTTGAGAGCTGAGTTTTGACGATTACGCCGTCCAGGACAGCCTTCATCAGTGTACCAGTGCCCTCCGAACCATGAGCCTCCAGCAAAGCGAACTCAACAAGCTGCAACTGAAAGCAGGACGAGGTACGTACCATCAGGATCCGAAGAGTACATCACCCCATCAACACCGACTGCAGATAGCTGATGAACAATATTATCCCAGTAACGTTGCGCATACCAGTACTCAAACTGTGCACACCTGTCATCAACTGGGATGCAAACAGACAGATCCCCATCAAGTACGAAGATTACAGAACTGCTTGCTTACGATTGCAGGCAGCATGCACGACGAACTGTCTGACCAATTCTGCCAAACTTAACCAGCGTAAGTAACAGTTGATTGCGTGGATATGTCTCTATTTATAACAGTTACTCTACTTTTAGGCATGGTTGCATGAATATCATATCACGCAGTTGTTAGAAGTCTGGACAGCCTAAGAATAGTGCAAGTAAGGTGGAACAAAAATGTATTACAACTCCGAGTTTCACGCTTGCGGAATCACCAGGCCAAAAAATTCGAATTTCGAACGGGGAATGGGTTCTTGTTGTATGCGAAGGAAAAGTAAGTGAATAACTATTGTGCAAGGAGTACAGTGGGAACTACACATACACATGCACTCACACCTTCACCCACATGCACACGCGCATGTGCGTGCACGTACACACAAACACAACAACAACACCTACACACACATACTAAACTCACTCGCACGCACGCTAGCCTTAGAATAGTACATATGCTGTAGTAGTAGGGATATCAGCGTATTTTTTGTCTTTCGTAGTAAACCAAGGAAACTGGTTGTTTTCGTAAAGAACTACAGTAGAGGAGATAGCACAGCAAATTTGGATGCACAATATTGAAGGATACCCGAGATATGAGGCATCAAAGTCATACGCCGAACTTCATCATGATGTATGCAGAATGCCATACTGCTGTGGCACCAACAGGGTTTTCCGGAAAGCCCAGCAAACGCTTGCAACATAACAATATTGTCAGAATGCTATGAAATCTGGCTTGTAGGTGCAATATAGTTGCAATACAGGTTGGTTAATCCTAATGTTGACCAAAAAATAATATTTCGGCAAGCGATGACCAATGAGAACGAGCGCGGTGCCCGTAGCAACCACCATAGCAACAATGCTAAATCCATTGAAAACGAGTTCCATTACTATGAAATTGAAGTGAGCACTGATTGCTATGCTTGCATTATACATGTACTAATAATA